ATTTTTATCAATTTCATGTCCGGCAGGTAAAAAAAAACGTAAAAAACCACTGTCGGCAACTTGAAAAAAAGGCTGTCAGGTGCCGTGGCCTAGGTTTCTCACTGAAAATCCTCGTCCCCCGGCGGCACCTTTTTTTGAATTTTCTTCCTTTTCAACGACGTTTTTCGGGGATTTCGGATTTTCCTTGAATTTTTTCGCAATAATATTTGAAAAATAGATAAATTTTAACACATTTTAATGCAATAAAAATTTCTGGTCGGAGTCCCCCTTTAAATCAAAAAAAGATTAAATAGATTGAATCATTTATTTGTTCAGAAGTTCTCCAAAAAATATCATTTTTCATCCTAGAAGGGTGCTTTGAACGGCCACGGCGGCTCCCTTCTTCACGGCCATTCCTGCCCAAGTTCCATCCAAAGTATTCTCAATGTCTCGATTTGGCTTCGACCATGAGACGTATAGAAGATCTTTACGAGCCATCAAAAGAGCCATCATCGGAACTTTTGCCTTCTTCTCATCCACTGCGAATAATCTCAGCTCCCCCGGAATCGTGACTTGTCGAACGAATTCATTTTTCTGTACAGCTGCATTCAACACTCCCATAACAATCTTCTCAATCAATCCCTCTGATTTATCTTCTTGATCACACTACGACAGAATGCACGGAGAATCTCTTGGTCCGGCTCAGGAATCTCTTTGGAAATCAACGCCTCCATTTTGACTAGTTGAAGTACACGAGCACAGTTGATGATCACGTCGTCGTGCTGAAAAATTTCAGACTTTTTTCTGAAAATTATGACTCAAGGCTCACCGTCTCTTTCTCATCATCATCTTCTGTAAGCTCTTTTTCGTTTGCTTTCAAAACTTTGCATTTTTTATTCTTAATCTTCTTTCGAAGTTTGGCAAGCTTATCGAGGACCTCGGACATTTTTTGATCGCCATTTGTGTCTGAAAATTGAAGAGGTGATGAGATTTCAGAAGACGGTATTACCCGCTCCCTCGACATCGATTTTCCATCGCATCTTGTTCTTTATTCCATGAGTACCAGTTTGAGCCGGAGCAGCTGGACCTTGTACTTCCTGAATAAATTACATTACCAAGTTTGAGCTCAATTATCTCGGCTTCTGTAAGAGATATCAAAAATGTGTCTACTGATAAAATGTTTGTGATATTATAAACAACAATTTGTTAGTTTACACATTTTTCATATCTTTGACAGGAACCGAGATATTTTGGCTTAAATTTAAACGTTTACGGTAAGCGAAAATACTCTAAGGCAATCCTTACCTCAAAAACACTGGCTTCCTGTTCTTCTTTCTTCGGTTCAGTTTTCTTTTTTTGTCCTTGTTTCGATGGAGCTTCTTCGGTTTTTGATCCACCCTCTTTCTTTTCTTTCTTCTCTTCTATGCTCTTAGGAACTGGAGCTGGAACAGGAGTGTGATCCTTCTCTTCAACAGTCTTTGGCATGGCTCCATCGTCACGAGACATATTTGCTCTTCTCTTCTGAAATCAAAAAAATAAACTTCTGAAATTTCGTTTTACAACTTACATTGATGCTTTTGGATCTTGAAGTTCCAGAAACCGAACTGTTTGACGTTGGACCTGGACTGGTTGCAGTTTGTTGACTACCCAATTCTTCTCGACTATCATTATTGGTTTTTTGAGCGGATCTGTAAAGAGGGCAACTGATCAAAAATCTTCCTCTTTTTCTCCGTTTTTTGGGTCTTACGAAGAGAAAAATTTCTTCCATTTGGAAATCGACCGACTATTCGATTTGGACTTCGATTTTCCCATTTTTAACTGAAATTTAGTGTTGAGATAAAGCTGGAATTTCAGATAGGGCTCACTTCAAAACGGTGTAATGTGTGAAGAAGTTTCCGTCTATTTTTGTGAAATGATAGGAAAGTGAATACAAAATGATGAGATTAGAGAACATTTTGGGGACGTTTTGAACGTTGGAATTGGAAAAAATAGGTTACACGAAAAAGGTTGTTGGAGGACTGCAGGCGCCCTCAAATCTTGAATGACCTGACTACTTATTACAAATTAAAAAATGTTATTGTCTATTCAAAATAATCGCGCGGGTGAACGAGTAAAAAACGTGTAGAGAGTCTCCAAACCT